TACCTGGGTGCCTGCGACCGGCTGCTGGAGCAGGGCTATGAGGAAGGGCAGGTGGAGGAGGCCATGGAAATGTTCCAGTACTCGGAGAAAAAGGTCAGATTTTTCTGACACTGCCCTGGGGCAGCATCACCCTAAGGACCCCCCCAGGAAGGACACGCGCTCCATCACTCTTCTCCATCCGTCCTCTCACCCCGCCGTGCACGCACAATGCTTGCTCAGCCCCTGCCCGGGGAATCCCCCACCCCGAGCCCACCAGCACCCGCACTCGCTACCTCCCTCCCGGCTCCCCCTTTGCATTCACCCCCCCACGGAGAAGAACCGTGGTGGCACGCCAGGTGTTGGTCTCCATCCCCAGTCTCCTCCTGGGAGTAGCGAAGAGCCGGGGTGGGAGAAAAGCTGCTTGAAATTTGGGCTGGCGCTGTTTGACGTGATGCCGACGGCATGTAGGATTGCTGGCTCACCACTCCTTAGGGCTGTGGCAGCGGGAAGGCGCCCGGGTCTGGGTGTCAGGCGGGGGGTTATTTATTGAGGACGTGGCTCCGGGAGATGTTGTGGTGCTGGGGCCCAGCCTGAGCAAGGGGGGAAGCAGGACAAATTAATTCCAGCTTTCACTCACTGCCTTTCCCCTGTCTCTTTATAACACAGGCAAACACTTGCATGGAATTCATATTAAACTTTATAAGGAATAAGTGAAGCTGGAGGCTGACTTTATTAAATATTTCTTATTTAAAAAGTTGATGTAAAGGCACACTTTTAAATGCTGGCAGTGGTATGTGTCCCCTCGCTCTGCTGTCGGCAGTGGCACCGGGAGTGCCCTTCAGCGGTAATACAACCCGGCCAGGTCGTCTGGCTGCAGCCTCGTCGCCCAACGCTGTTTCTGCTGCAACTCTACGCTAAATCCATCCTTAAAACCCCATGATAATATCACTCCTTTCTCTTCCTTCTTCCCACAGGCAGCTGAATTCTTGCATTTGTTAGCGCAGTTTAACGATATGGGTTTCCAGCAAAATGAAATCAAAGAAGTTCTTTTGCTTTGTGGGAATCAGAGGGAGAAGGCGCTGGAAGAGCTCGTGATGAAAGCCCAGTGACCAGCATCCTGGACCCCAGTCACAGCTTCCCCTCTCCAGACCGGACCATCGAAGGACTTGGGTGGGTCGGCACGCGCTTACCCGTCTGCTGCTCCATCCCCACCCCGAGCAGCACGGCTCACCGGGCACAAACCTTCAAAGCAGCGGCTTGGTGCCTCATCTCATTTTATGGACATCCATCATAAGTTTGTTTGTCACTGTACTAAGGCAAAGGCTTTATAGCAGGAGTGTTTCTCTCTCCACCCACGCACCTCCACCCTTGATCATCTCAGCTGTTTAGATTAGATGCAATAAGATCCAAACCGCCTTCGGCTTAGATTTTGCAAAACCCAAACCACGGTTTTCTCCCTCCACCTGGGGTGATGGGTGTCGTGTTTTCGGCTACAATCAAATGTGGATTCTTAAAAGATTGTACAAATTAACAGAAGAGATTGTCTTCATAAAAACTGAAGGCTCCTGCAGAAACATTTGTTGGCCCTTGCTTGGGAAGAGTCTCAACTGACTTAGTCATGGTTGAATATTGTAATTGAAATCCAGTCCGATCACAGCTTCTCCTTTTAAACCAGAAACTTGAGAAAAATACACAATTCAATGAGGGTGAGGAAAGAAAACAGGCTGCCCTTGCTCTAGGAATACATGAAGTTTATCCAGTGCAATGAAAAATGGCTTATGTGAGGGTTTGTGCTCAGGGAATTTCATGAAATCAGAACAGAGAGACGGGGAATGGCTTGGCTGCCCTCGTGCTCTTCCCAAATCAGGAAAATTCAGGGGATTCTTCCCTAAACTGTGGAGACAGTGGCTCCAAGTGAAGTTAAGCATGAATGTCAGGATCAGGAAAATCTGGATGCCCGGCGGAATTTTTCTATGTAACTGAAGGTCAGAGAATGGGAGATTGAGATCACCTTACGAGATGTGTCTCTTGGCTTGGCAGTGGAACAGTGGACAGTGTTTTCACATTAAAGTGTATTGTTTTCCTGTGAATTAGAGAGAGATGTAATTTCTTTGAGTAAAGATGGTTGGAGGGGTTCTTCTGAAATGTATTTGTGTCTTTTCCTGTGAAAATGCCAACTGGCACAACCTAGCAGAGAAAATCCTTAATTAGTTGCATTAGTACCATTTTTCCGTTGTATCCTTCCAAACGATCTCCCAGCCCAACGTACTGCCATCGAGTTAAAACACCGTGTCCCTTCTCCCTGTATCTCTAGGTAGGTGCCAAACACCAGCAGGAGGGTGCAGCCCTCCATGGCTGCCTTCATCCTTGCCTGGATGCAACGAGGAAACTTGGCATCTGGGTTTTGGGGGTCTTGACCCATCCATACCCAAGGATGCTTTATACCTTCTCTTCTTTAATGGCATTGAAAAGGAAAATGTGGCACCTTGTATGGCCAAGGGAGATATTCGTGGGGAGCTCACAGGCTCTTCTTGTTTTTCCTCCAGCTTTCCCTTGGTTATACAAGCTTTTATTTTTGATACGGCCCTTATAAGGCAAGTCCATTCTACAGACAGCTTTTCGTTACGTTCATCCTTGCCAAGATGATGTCACCTTAAAAAGAAACTTGCAAAAGGTTAAACCGTGATTAGATAGATCGCTTCGCCTTGAACTGTAATCTTTGGCAGAGTTAAGGACCGTGAAGATTGAAAGGGGAAGATAACGGTGCTGTGCCAGTGCCAGTTACGTTGAGGGCTACATTCTGTTGGAGCGAAGCACATTTGCAGCGTCGTGCCCACTCACCGTGCAAAGGCTGAGCAGCCTCTTGCTCTCGTTAGAGATTTACTTGGTCCTGGCTCATCATTTTTTCCCCCTGCCCACAGAGGTAAGAACTGTATCTTTTTTTCCTCCCTGCGCACCTAAAATTGTGTTACTTTCTGTATCGTGGTCTGGATTAATGGATGCAGCAAATTATTCCTCTCTCGGGAGCATCCATGCCATACTCAACAGTGCCTGCCAAGACCTGCTCTTTCCCCCAGGTGCTACACTTCAAATCTTAAAACCTTTTGCATTTTGTCGGCAAATATCTTTGTAAACCTGTCAAAAAACCAGCGTGTGAAGGTGGGGGGAGAGGTTGTATCGCTTGGTGGTTTCAGAGCTGGAGGGAAGGGGAGAGCCTGCCAAGTTCGGCTGTCCCGGGTTAGCCACAGGAGCCCGTCATAAATATTTTAGTAACAGAATTATTTTAACTTTATTTTAATGGAGGGTTTAAGCTGTTTGTTCAACTTAAAATGGTTTTAAAGCAGCCGGCTTCCATGTGCTGCCTTCAGTTAGGAGAAGACAGCGTGAAATGTTAATTGGCTTCGTCTAGGAAGGGAACAAGGATTTGACTTGATGGGCTTTCTGCTAGCGGTCCGCCCGAGGATAGGAACGATGCTCAGCTAATGCTGCAGCACGCTGTAGAACTGGGTGAGGTCCACCGGTGTCCCCTGCCTCCCCCGTGCCACCATCAGACCTGCACCTCCACCGGCTGCGGTCCCCATCCCGGGGGTGACAGCGGGGTGGTGGCCTGGCCTGGCAGAGGGCAAATGGGGACAAGGTGCATCCAGTGGTTTTCAATCTGGACGTGGACGCGAGCTGGGGTTTTCTTGTTTGTTTTGGTTTGTGGTTGTGTTGGGTGGTTTTTTTCTCAAATGCGGTAACTGTTTTGAAAATGCTGAGAACTTGGCGAGGGTCAGCAGCGGAGGTATTTGAGGCATCCCAGCTGGTATTCTCTTCCGCTCCCTCTCGGCTGGGACGGCACGGGCAGCCCGAAGCCTGCCCCACGGATGGGAAACCAGCTGAGCCATGGGCTGGCTTTGCTGCTGCCCTGGTCCCTGCAGGTCTCCCAGCTGCACTGCGGTCACGAAGGGGACCTCTATGTTCTCCAGCCGTCCCCAGAGCTGGTGTGGAGGCTAACAACCTTTGATGCTAGGGGATGGTATCTCATGAGAACGGCTCATGTGCTTATGGAGTTTCGCTAATGGAGAAGACCTCTGCAAGCCTGGCATCGCCGTGCAGTGGTGGTGCTCTCTCCTCTCCTTCCCTTTTTGCACCCTTTTGTATTTCCAAGGTTTGCCATGTCCTAAAAAGACCCTGTCTTGGCTCAAATGAGCCTCCGGTGAGCAGCAGCACTTGCCACCCCCTTGGGTCCATGCTGGGGCTTGGCAGATGAGCCTGGAGGAGACGATAGCTGGCTAACACGCTCGGTGGGGTGATGGATGGTTCCCAGGTCCCAGAAACCCCTCAGTGCATTAAGCACCGATGCCCAGGAGATGCGTTCCTTCACCCCCCCATCTCCCCTCTCCCCTCCTCCTCCCAGGACCCCGCCGCAGCCGGGAGCGGCCGTGGAGACCTCCCCGGGGAGCGCGGGGCTGCGTGGGAACCGCGCTCCCACGTACGGCTCTGAAACGGAGCCGCAGCTGAAAAAGCATTCAGCGGGCAGGAGCGAGCCTTGACGTGGATCCCTGTTAGGAGGTATTTTCCTTCAGAAGAGGGCGGGGAAAAAAAACCATACCCCAAGAGTAATGAAAAACACAGGGGTTTTTATAGCTTTCCTTTTAATTCCAGGATATAACAAATGATCTCCCATTGGAGCAGAGGGAAGGTGGGATGCTGCACACCTTCAGAGAGCGGTCAAAATAAATAAAACCTGTGTTTGCATCTTTTTGGTATCTGTCCTCTGCAGAAGCCATGAAGCCCTGCACGTGGTCGGCTCGTGAGCCCACGTCTGGCAGGACTTGGCACACAGCCTGTGCAGCGCAGGCAGAGGCAGGCAGCAGGTGTCCCTCTGGCAGGGTCTAGTGTCACCTCCAAGGTCCAACGTGACACGTCCTTGGACCTGAGCACGGCTCCGCGGAGAAGGAGAGGAGCCCGGGGGAGCAGCGGGTGCAGAGCCAAGGCGACGTGCAAGGAGAGCATCCCGACGTGGGACGGGGGGCCACCTACGTCGCGACGTCATGGTCGCGCCTCGGCAGCCGCAGGAGGAAGGTCTGCAGGGAGCCGCTGCGCGGGAAGCCCGCCCGCTCCTTCTTGAACCTCCAAGTCTCCTCTTCCACGGAGTAGAGGAGCGTCAGCATCTTGTTGACGGTGTAGATGGTGTCACCCCTGATGACGGCGGTGAAGAGGGCTCCTTTGCTGTTCAGGAACTGCCCGGGCAGGGCGGTCCACTGCCGCGACGTCAGGTTGAAGCAGTCGATGACGCAACGCAAGAAGTCATCTGAGGGGCCGTTGCGCATGACGTAGAGGTTGTCGCGGTGGGCCACCATGCAGTGCCCGTAGCTCTGGTGCCGCTTGAGCTCGGTGATGGGAAGCCATGCGTCTCGCTGGGTCTCGTACTCATAGATGACGGTGGTGTCCAGTGGCTTCCACAAGCAAACAAAGATCTGCCCCATGGCTTGGGCGCAGGGTGCCGCCGCGCTCGGCTGTGGCAGGTCGGAGACGAACGTCCAGGTGCTGGAGGCCACGTCGTACCTCTCCACGGACTTCAGGGAGATCTTCTCGTACTCCCCACCGATGGCGTAGAGGTAGCCCTCGTGGCCCACCAGCCTGACGTCGTAGCGCAGCTGATGGGGGCTGGGGGACTCGCTCCAGGCGTTGGCATC